ACATGTAGGAAATGATCATGGACCAGAGTTTACACATGGTAAGACCAGACGTACATGTAGGAAATGACCATGGACCAGAGTTTACACATGGTAAGACCAGACGTACATGTAGGAAATGATCATGGACTAGAGTTTACACATGGTAAGACCAGACGTACATGTAGGAAATGACCATGGACCAGAGTTTACACATGGTAAGACCAGACGTACATGTTGGAGATGACCATGGACCAGAGTTTACACATGGTAAGACCAGACGTACATGTAGGAAATGACCATGGACCAGAGTTTACACATGGTAAGACCAGACGTACATGTAGGAAATGATCATGGACCAGAGTTTACACATGGTAAGACCAGACGTACATGTAGGAAATAAGACCAGGCTTGCTCTGACCTGTGCCTCGTCTCTCCGTGCTCTAATGTATTCATTTGTCAAATTGGCGAAAATAAAATAATGTAGAAGATTAGAAAGACTTTATTAACCCAGTTTGATGAGAAGGACTTTCCGTTGTTAATCCTGGCTGCAGAGTTTCACTTTTGTATCGGCTTCAGCTGGTGGTGTTTACTGGTGTTAGGTGTGCCACGGCTCAAAAAGGTTGTGGAACGCTGATCTAATGTGCTACAACAGAACTGTGAACTCCTGGAAATATGAATTACATCATCTTCAACATGCTAAATTAACACTAAATTATAAAAACCCACTGGATTTTATGGAACTGGACTGCTTTACTGTTAGTTTTTTCCTTCATGAAGTGGCAATAAGATACTCTTGATTGTCCTCAAGGGGCGAGTTAGTGTTAGACCGGTCTGAATGAGAAATTATTTCATTGCAACAATAGAAATAGTGCTGTAGTGATTAGACATCTCTGTTCGGTTCAATGAATTATAACCAATAATTAGTTACAGTGATTTAAACCGGCACGGTGGCTGAGTGGATAGCACTCTCGCCTCTCAGCAAGAAGGTCCTGGGTTCGAATCCCGGTCGGACCAGGGCCTTTCTGAGTGGAGTTTGCATGTTCTCCCCGTGTCTGCGTAGGTTTCCTCCGGGAACTCCGGTTTCCCCTACCACTAAAAATATGTCCAATAGTTCTAGCATGCGCCTCCTGTACTGGCCCCGCTCCCATCTCTGTGTGGAGTGAGAGACAAATGCCCAAAATTAACAATTGTAAACCGCTTTGAGACTCAGATCTGCAGTGAAAAGGCGGTATATAAATAAAAACTTACTTACTTACTTACTTACTTACTTAAACCGGCCTCTGAGATTGGGAGTCAGGAGTGCTTGAAGCGGTTGCATTAAGCAAATAAAATTATATTAACACCACAACTCAACACTGCGTCTCATATTGATCTTATTTAATTTATATGAAATGGAACAGTGCAAATTAATCAACATCATGTAATTTAAATGTGCCCGAGTTAGCTAAATTAAGCTAATTTTCATTGATAGTCTCGTGAGCAGATGTGAAGGCCAGGCTGAAAATAAAAAAACTAGTAAATTAACAATCCATTTGCCGTACAGTTAATAGTCACAAGTCTGTGTTTCTGATTCTATTCTCAAAAACATCATAAAGCTAAAGCGTAAGTTCAGACTGGAAGAACGTACAGCCCTCCCACTGTCGCTCACGGCAACAGCACCTGTCAATCACACTGCCCTCACCTGGCACTGCACACATCAAGCTTCACTCACGCCACAACCCTCCTCCTCCCCGTCTCCGCCTCGTTCCAGGCTCGATCATAGTTTTCTCTGAGCTCCCACCACCGGCGTCTAGGCCCCGGGGTATTTCGTCTCATAACCTCTTTCCCCTTCTTTACCACAGGTCTCTGCCGGGGTCTAAGCGCCAACTCCTAACCACATTTCTGTACAGCAGCAATAAATGTAATCTGTAAATATTGTCCACAGATTATTTTTTTTATTTATTTAAATCAATACATTAAACATACCATTGATGTGTTAACAAAATACATAAAGTTGTTTGGAAATGAACAGAAAACAAAGAATAGTGAAAATTCATAAAAAGTAAAAATAACTAAACAGAAAAAAATATTGTGTTTTATATTGTGAATAAATTGAATTAAAATAATTACAATTCTAATAATACCATGTTGTGTCCGTTCCAGTCTCTCAGATTGAAATAATAATAATAATAATATGTTTTATTTCTTAGACGCCTTACATACAAGTAAAAAAGTGCATTTTAAAAACAGTTAAAATACAATGTTAAAAGCATCATGGACAAAGGACAGTGTGGTTATGATGTTAGTGAGTACTTGCCTTTATATCAGTATTTATTCATACATTTTGTTACGTATTAATGCCGACTGATGCATAAATCATGACATTTGAACAAAACATCCACAGGAGATCCCAGGTGGAGGAGACGCCGTCGCAGTATTTGATGATTCCCATCTCACCTCAGTATCAGCCAACTCCATTAACTTCACTCTGACCCACTTCTTCAGTCCTCAAGAGCGAGCCAGAGGAAGAGCCAGACAAGAGCCTTCCTCAAAATAAACATAAAAGAAGTGATTGGAATGAATCAAACCGGGACCAAGTGCAGCTCCGTCAAACTCAAACACAATTTAGACATTTTTAAAAAGAAGATATTTTAGGTCAAACAGACTTTTTTGAGGTTTCCTGATACCTTATCCAAAATACAGCCGGGGTTGTTGTTAGATCCATCTGTGCTAATACTGTGACTGGACTGAGTAAGGAAGTGAGTAGTAGTTATTTGTATAGCGCCTTTCATAGTCACAAAACACTTTACAACAGTTTTTTTGGGAGTTGGGTTGACAGTACAGGAGGCACATGCCAGACCAATCGTACATGTTTTTAGTGGAAGAAGAAACCGCAGCGCACGGAGGAAACTTAAGCAGACACGGGGAGAACATGCAAAATCCACTCAGAAAGTACTGTACCACTTTATCTGTCCCACAACAATCTCTTAACAATTTTGTAAAGACCTATTCAAGGGATTTATTGAAAACTGATATGTTACTTCTCACTCTAAAACGTGAAATGACAAAGAAAATGGTCTCATTATAGTGCGATACTTTAACTTCAGAAGTCACTGAATGATGTCACTTTACTACTAAAAACCATTCATATCATAAACAAACATATATTTTTGTTGTCGTACCTTGTTTGTCATGTTGCTCCAGCTGTGACATATTGTACTTGTCACACATTTAGAGCATGAAGCAAATAAGAATGTTTCAAAGAGACAGAAGAACAACTTTTTCTCTGTGTCCACTCAGCCACTCTGCGACACGGTAGCACTCTCATTTTTCAGCAAGAAGGTCCTGGGTTTGAATCCCGGTCGGAACAGGGTCTTTCTGAGTGGAGTTTGCATGTTCCCCTGCCACTAAAAACATGCACAATAGGTCGGAATGTAGTGAGTGATGGAAGGTGTTTGGTCGGAGGCTTTGATGGTCCAGTGTGTTCTGTCATCACCGTGTGGAGAGAATGGAACCATATCTGAACTCTGAACAATTGTAAAGCGCTTTGGGTGACCTCGGTCTGTAAAAATGTGCAATATAAATAAAGTACTTACCACATCGCCCCTACCGCCATCCCAGTCCCTCCTTTCCTTGTGCGTAGAGATTATTACAGGACATTTGGAAGTCAGATTTAGCACATACGCTATAGTTCAAACTGGTCCTGATTCATCTGAGAACATTTGAATTAGCTGGAAATATGAGGAAAACAATCATATTCTGATCAGTCCCATTTCCAGCCATTTGTCCAGGAATCGGCCGGTACTGTCCATCTGCTCTGTGCAGCGTTGTCCATTAGGTTCTAAAACTTTTGCCTAATTAAGAACAGAAGGTTTTCAGAATTCATCATTCTGCTTTTGTCAACGGGACCAGGCCATAACAACATGGCCGAATAATGACAGATGCATTTCCTTTACTTCCCATCACACAGGTGCATTTATCTTTGTCCCATTTGAAAAATCTGTTAAATGCGCACTTTATTGTACCTGGGAAATGTGTTCTCTGCATTTGACCCAGATCCGTCAGAAGCAGTGGTTGCCGTAGTAACAACCCCTGGGAACCAATCTCCAGATGTTGGTACTCGGTTCAGAGCTGGAGGATTTACTGTATTGTGCAGGTTTTTTTGTGGTAGGGGAAACCGGAGCAGACACGGGGAGAACATGCAAACTCCACTCAGAAAGGCCCTGTACCAACCGGGATTCGAACCCAGGACCTTCTAGAGTGCTGTCTACTCAGCCGCCCCTTGGGAATCCAGTAGTTTCATCTTATTCCCACAGTTGTCGTCTGCACACGGACAATGCTTGTTTTTAATGCACCACAAATTGTAGGACACACAACAAGTTATAGAAAGTTATAGAAAGTTATAGAAAGTTATAAAAAGTTATAAAGTTATAGAAACCAACTCCAAAAAAATAGATGATCAATGGACACACATGCACACAAACACACACACACACACACACACGCACACGTACACAGACACACATACACACACACGTACACACACACACACACACACACACACACACGTACACACACACACACACAAACGTACACACACACGTGGGCGTTCCTGTTTTTCTTATATCTTAGTGGAATAAAACTCTGAGCTGTGAACCTCAGGGAAACGCCGGCATTCTGAGGACCGCCTAACTATTCCAAACTGACATGAATGCTTTTCTGCTCCATCCCTGCGGACCTTGTTAGCTTTATTTAATGGCAAAATGATCCGGCTTCACAGTCCGGCTCTGACACTACCCTGAGCGCTGTGGTGTTAAAACACAAGGCCAGTCTAAGAAAACAACAATATGGTATTTGTATTTTGCTTTTATTAAACCGGGAAGTCCCACAGAGCCGCTAAGTCAAGTCAAGACCTAAAATATCTGTGTCCATTCAAACCAGTGGCCTGCGCTTGTTGGCGTTTGCTAGCAACACAGAGGCAGAACTATTAGCGGAAGTGACCCATTTGTGGTCATCTTCAAAACTGTGGCTGTGACTGTGGCATGGGTCTGTAATCATATCTGGATAGATGGATGGATACTTTATTGAAATAATGAAATGGATCATTCTAAAAAGCTAACAATAGTAATAATCAGCAACAGCCTTTCAGGTCACAGCAGCAGAGGTGAAGTAGCCTCTGGGTGGAGCAGGACGGGTCACAGCAGCAGAGGTGGAGTAGGCTCTGGGTGGAGCAGGACGGGTCACAGCAGCAGAGGTGGAGTAGCCTCTGGGTGGAGCAGGAAGGGTCACAGCAGCAGAGGTGGAGTAGCCTCTGGGTGGAGCAGGACGGGTCACAGCAGCAGAGGTGGAGTAGCCTCTGGGTGGAGCAGGACGGGTCACAGCAGCAGAGGTGGAGTAGCCTCTGGGTGGAGCAGGACGGGTCACAGCAGCAGAGGTGGAGCAGGACAGGTCACAGCAGCGGAGGTGGAGTAGCCTCTGGGTGGAGCAGGACGGGTCACAGCAGCAGAGGTGGAGTAGCCTCTGGGTGGAGCAGGACAGGTCACAGCAGCAGAGGTGGAGTAGCCTCTGGGTGGAGCAGGACAGGTCACAGCAGCAGAGGTGGAGTAGGCTCTGGGTGGAGCAGGACAGGTCACAGCAGCAGAGGTGGAGTAGGCTCTGGGTGGAGCAGGACGGGTCACAGCAGCAGAGGTGGAGTAGCCTCTGGGTGGAGCAGGACGGGTCACAGCAGCAGAGGTGGTGTAGCCTCTGGGTGGAGCAGGACAGGTCACAGCAGCAGAGGTGGAGTAGGCTCTGGATGGAGCAGGACGGGTCACAGCAGCAGAGGTGGAGTAGCCTCTGGGTGGAGCAGGAAGGGTCACAGCAGCAGAGGTGGAGTAGCCTCTGGGTGGAGCAGGACGAGTCACAGCAGCAGAGGTGGAGTAGCCTCTGGGTGGAGCAGGACGGGTCACAGCAGCAGAGGTGGAGTAGCCTCTGGGTGGAGCAGGACGGGTCACAGCAGCAGAGGTGGAGCAGGACAGGTCACAGCAGCAGAGGTGGAGTAGCCTCTGGGTGGAGCAAGAAGGGTCACAGCAGCAGAGGTGGAGTAGCCTCTGGGTGGAGCAGGACGGGTCACAGCAGCAGAGGTGGAGTAGCCTCTGGGTGGAGCAGGACAGGTCACAGCAGCAGAGATGGAGTAGCCTCTGGGTGGAGCAGGAAGGGTCACAGCAGCAGAGGTGGAGTAGCCTCTGGGTGGAGCAGGAAGGGTCACAGCAGCAGAGGTTGAGGAGCCTCTGGGTGGAGCAGGACAGGTCACAGCAGCAGAGGTGGAGTAGCCTTTGGGTGGAGCAGGACAGGTCACAGCAGCAGAGGTGGAGCAGCCTCTGGGTGGAGCAGGACAGGTCACAGCAGCAGAGGTGGAGCAGCCTCTGGGTGGAGCAGGACAGGTCACAGCAGCAGAGGTGGAGTAGCCTTTGGGTGGAGCAGGACAGGTCACAGCAGCAGAGGTGGAGTAGCCTTTGGGTGGAGCAGGACAGGTCACAGCAGCAGAGGTGGAGTAGCCTCTGGGTGGAGCAGGACAGGTCACAGCAGCAGAGGTGGAGTAGGCTCTGGGTGGAGCAGGACAGGTCACAGCAGCAGAGGTGGAGTAGCCTCTGGGTGGAGCAGGAAGGGTCACAGCAGCAGCAGAGGTGGAGTAGCCTCTGGGTGGAGCAGGACGGGTCACAGCAGCAGAGGTGGAGTAGCCTCTGGGTGGAGCAGGACGGGTCACAGCAGCAGAGGTGGAGTAGCCTCTGGGTGGAGCAGGACGGGTCACAGCAGCAGAGGTGGAGCAGGACAGGTCACAGCAGCGGAGGTGGAGTAGCCTCTGGGTGGAGCAGGACGGGTCACAGCAGCAGAGGTGGAGTAGCCTCTGGGTGGAGCAGGACAGGTCACAGCAGCAGAGGTGGAGTAGCCTCTGGGTGGAGCAGGACAGGTCACAGCAGCAGAGGTGGAGTAGGCTCTGGGTGGAGCAGGACAGGTCACAGCAGCAGAGGTGGAGTAGGCTCTGGGTGGAGCAGGACGGGTCACAGCAGCAGAGGTGGAGTAGCCTCTGGGTGGAGCAGGACGGGTCACAGCAGCAGAGGTGGTGTAGCCTCTGGGTGGAGCAGGACAGGTCACAGCAGCAGAGGTGGAGTAGGCTCTGGATGGAGCAGGACGGGTCACAGCAGCAGAGGTGGAGTAGCCTCTGGGTGGAGCAGGAAGGGTCACAGCAGCAGAGGTGGAGTAGCCTCTGGGTGGAGCAGGACGGGTCACAGCAGCAGAGGTGGAGTAGCCTCTGGGTGGAGCAGGACGGGTCACAGCAGCAGAGGTGGAGTAGCCTCTGGGTGGAGCAGGACGGGTCACAGCAGCAGAGGTGGAGCAGGACAGGTCACAGCAGCAGAGGTGGAGTAGCCTCTGGGTGGAGCAGGAAGGGTCACAGCAGCAGAGGTGGAGTAGCCTCTGGGTGGAGCGGGACGGGTCACAGCAGCAGAGGTGGAGTAGCCTCTGGGTGGAGCAGGACAGGTCACAGCAGCAGAGATGGAGTAGCCTCTGGGTGGAGCAGGAAGGGTCACAGCAGCAGAGGTGGAGTAGCCTCTGGGTGGAGCAGGAAGGGTCACAGCAGCAGAGGTTGAGGAGCCTCTGGGTGGAGCAGGACAGGTCACAGCAGCAGAGGTGGAGTAGCCTTTGGGTGGAGCAGGACAGGTCACAGCAGCAGAGGTGGAGCAGCCTCTGGGTGGAGCAGGACAGGTCACAGCAGCAGAGGTGGAGCAGCCTCTGGGTGGAGCAGGACAGGTCACAGCAGCAGAGGTGGAGTAGCCTTTGGGTGGAGCAGGACAGGTCACAGCAGCAGAGGTGGAGTAGCCTTTGGGTGGAGCAGGACAGGTCACAGCAGCAGAGGTGGAGTAGGCTCTGGGTGGAGCAGGACAGGTCACAGCAGCAGAGGTGGAGTAGCCTCTGGGTGGAGCAGGACAGGTCACAGCAGCAGAGGTGGAGTAGGCTCTGGGTGGAGCAGGACAGGTCACAGCAGCAGAGGTGGAGTAGCCTCTGGGTGGAGCAGGACAGGTCACAGCAGCAGAGGTGGAGTAGCCTCTGGGTGGAGCAGGACAGGTCACAGCAGCAGAGGTGGAGTAGCCTCTGGGTGGAGCAGGACAGGTCAAAAGGTGGAGTAGCCGCTTGGTTTGGAGCAGTTTCTCTGCTCTGGTCTAAAGTAAAATGCTGAGTGCTTCATGAGGATGTTTCAAAAAGTTAGCATTCCTCCAGTGGATTTTCACTTGTAAGTATTACTAGCTCAAAGCTTTCCCACTCATGGCCAGAGGGGGCGCTGTGGTACTGTAGACTAAATTCACATGGGCTACTCAGAAAAATGTTTGATAGAACTCAATGCATGGTATGGTTTTTTTTTGTTTACAGGGACAGTGTACAATAAACATGAGCCAAAAAGAGAGATGTATTGTACCAGGATGTAGCAGCAGTGCTAATTTACACCTGTAGTCCCTGAGCAACAGTCAAATTAGAGTAGATGGATACATGACCATACATTATCAGACATAGATTACGATTTCATTTATCACAGGTTATAATACAATAAAATAAAACTAAACTAAAATAGACCACACCTGACAGAGAACCTACAGCTTTCATAAAGGAAGATTCTGTGGGATTTTAAGGTCTGTTGTCGTCTTTTTGTCATCTTAAATCCTTCGGTTTTTTAGAAATCCACACTTTAATGTAAGAAACTCGTTATCTAGCTCCGCTCTGATTGGTCAGAACGTAGCTGACGGTGGAGCGAATATTCTGGCCAATCACGCACTGATCAGAGCGTGATTGGAGAGTCAGGACTAAACATGGGGAGGCTGCTTTTCAGATTCATGCTGCTAAAATCTGGAACAATCTTCCTGAAGATGTGAGACAGGCCTCCTCTCTGACAATGTTTAAAACCAGGTTAAAAACAGTTCCGCTGTGCAGGAGAAGCCGAGGCCCAGGGCTCCGGTCTGAGCGGGGATGAACTGCAACAGGCACCACTGGGGTCATTAAGAGCCTCTGAATGAGACGGTCGGCCCGTTACCGCGGCAACAAGCCTCGTCAAACAAGAAAAACAAGAGCAAAGAGGACGGAGGATGCATGGAACCTGTTTTCTGCTGATAATGGTGAGGTTTGGAGAGATCAAGACTCACAGGTACAACTCCTCCAGTGAAGCTTTAGCCCAAAGATGAGAGAGGAAAAGAAAGAGTTTTTGTTGTTGTGTTGTAGCGACTGGTAGAACAAGCAACAGAGCTAGGACAAAATGTATTAAACTCTCATTTTAGTCAAATCTGAAGGAAATATAATCGTTTATTGTTCCACGAAAGTTACTAAAACATCTCGACATCAACCCCAACCCTGTTGTGCTAATTATGAGGTAAATGCATTTAAGCCAGACCTGTGGGGGTGTACCCGGAAAGAGAATCACCCAATGCTTTTGTATGCCGTCTTCTTTGCTCTCGAAAATGTCTTTACAGGATGGTCCAAAAGTGGCTCTTGGTCCAAAAGTGGCTCTTGGTCCAAAAGTGGCTCTTGGTCCAAAAGTGGTTCTTGGTCCAAAGCTTCGTTCCAGATGCTGTCGAGGGGAGTGGATTTTTTGGACCAGTCTAGTTTAGCCGCTGTGGACTTTTGAATGCACTGGTTAAATGAATGGGACTAGTATCTACTAACAAATGCGCAAATGCATTTTTCCACATTTTCCAGCCCCGCGGCCATTTTGAAAAATCCACAGAAAGTAAAAGTGATGTCACAACAAAGAAAAAAACCAACCTGTTAAACCCCAAAAATCCCAAACCTCCCCTATCCACATGGTCTGGTCCAAAGCGGAAACCAAAATGTCCGACAAAGGTCACGCCTCCTCTTTGATTGGACCATGTGAGTAAAGCTGAAATAAAACTGAAATGTAAGTGTTAAAGATGCTTTACCCAACTGGTCTATGGGAGAGACCTGCGGGACCGCCTCGGACTATCTGCGCTCGGACTATCTACGCTCGGACTATCTACGCTCGGACTATCTACGCTCGGACTATCTACGCTCGGACTATCTACGCTCGGACTATCTACGCTCTGACTATCTGTGCTTGGACTATCTACGCTCGGACTATCTACGCTCGGACTATCTACGCTCGGACTATCTACGCTCGGACTATCTACGCTCGGACTATCTACGCTCGGACTATCTACGCTCGGACTATCTACGCTCGGACTATCTGCGCTCGGACTATCTAGGCTCGGACTATCTACGCTCGGACTATCTGCGCTCGGACTATCTGCGCTCGGACTATCTACGCTCGGACTATCTACGCTCGGACTATCTGCGCTCGGACTATCTGCGCTCGGACTATCTGCGCTCGGACTATCTGCGCTCGGACTATCTACGCTCGGACTATCTACGCTCGGACTATGTACGCTCTGACTATCTCTACGCTCGGACTATCTACGCTCGGACTATCTACGCTCGGACTATCTACGCTCGGACTATCTGCGCTCGGACTATCTGCGCTCGGACTATCTGCGCTCGGACTATCTACGCTCGGACTATCTGCGCTCGGACTATCTGCGCTCGGACTATCTGCGCTCGGACTATCGGACGCTCGGACTATCTACGCTCGGACTATCTGCGCTCGGACTATCTGCGCTCGGACTATCTGCGCTCGGACTATCTGCGCTCGGACTATCTGCGCTCGGACTATCTGCGCTCGGACTATCTACGCTCGGACTATCTACGCTCGGACTATCTGCGCTCGGACTATCTGCGCTCGGACTATCTGCGCTCGGACTATCTGCGCTCGGACTATCTGCGCTCGGACTATCTGCGCTCGGACTATCTACGCTCGGACTATCTGCGCTCGGACTATCTGCGCTCGGACTATCTGCGCTCGGACTATCTGCGCTCGGACTATCTGCGCTCGGACTATCTGCGCTCGGACTATCTGCGCTCGGACTATCTGCGCTCGGACTATCTGCGCTCGGACTATCTGCGCTCGGACTATCTACGCTCGGACTATCTGCGCTCGGACTATCTGCGCTCGGACTATCTGCGCTCGGACTATCTGCGCTCGGACTATCTGCGCTCGGACTATCTGCGCTCGGACTATCTGCGCTCGGACTATCTACGCTCGGACTATCTACGCTCGGACTATCTGCGCTCGGACTATCTACGCTCAGACTATCTACGCTCGGACTATCTACGCTCTGACTATCTACGCTCGGAGTACATTTGGAGGTGAAACTAGCGGTAATTTTTCAGTTATATATTGTGTTACCAGTGCGTTGCTTTTGTACCATTTCATCAGTGATTGTTGTACAGCTTACAAGCTAATGCTAATGTTAGCATAAAGATCGCAAATAAAACTAGATGCTCCGTGGGATGAGAGCGTAGGGGAAATGAGAAGCCTGTGAGCGAGTTGTGGGCGGGGCTAAACATTCAA